GCCCGTCCTGCCTCCCTCGATGGATGGTTCAAAGCGTTCCACAGATAGCTCGGTTTCACTCACAAGGGCATCTCTAAAAATAGAAGTGTGGTCTAAAAGCATCACTGCATCTAGATGCCCCCAGTGGGCTCACAGCAGTCTTTGTCCCGCTGACTCCTTGAATCGGGACCCAGACGCTGTCCAGCCGAACATTGGTTGGTAGCTAAACAGCTTTGACTCCACGATGGCTCCCCTCCTTTCTTCCCTGTCCTTTATTTATTGAAGAGATGGAACCCGCTGTTCCGTAGGATTTTCCACCTTGTGCATTTTGCAGACCCCCGATCTTTGTTTCCCAGAGGCTGATGAGATCAGGCTGTCTGCTTGCACTTGCCTTCTCCTTTTGTGAGCTTGGGGCTGCCCTGTGTACTCAGGAGCGAAACCCGGGGCTTGTCAGAGTTCCTAGAGGTGGAGAGCGTGAGCAAGGGCCGCAGGGGACAGGGCTCCGCAGGAGCCAGCTTTCAGCCTTCCAGAGCCAGCCCCCTGACGCCAGGCCCGCCACGGAGCACTCACCGGTGTGCATGGGGTATGTGATGGGCACGGTGTCTGCAGGGTGATGGAAAGTTCTGCAGACGGATGGTAGCGATGCTGTGGGACAGTGTGCGTGGGCTGAATGCAGCCTAGCAAACACACATGGCGAAAATGGTATCGTAGTATGCATATTTTACTACATTGAAAAATTTAAGTATGGCTGCTTGTTTTTAAATAAAGAAGGCTTTATAAAAGGGACAGGCATTATGGGAATCTATTGGAAAATTAATAGTACGTGTAAATGTGACTATTTGAGAAAAATGTTTGAATCCCTGTTTTTATGACATACACCCCCTTAAAAGAGGTGACGTGAGCTCGTGGATGACACCTTTATATATTTTGAAGTAGTTCAGCTCGTAATTTCAACCTTTGGTGTATTTTTAATTTTTTAAAATTTTATTTACTCATTTTAAGTAATCTCTATGCCCAATGTGGGGCTCGAACTCACAACCCGAGATCAAGAGCTGCACGCCTTCACTGACTGAGCCAGCCGGGTGTCCCCAGCCTTTTGTGTTTTTAAGATAGTTTCCAAGTCTGCAAATTTACGATGGTTTCCAAGTCTGTAAATTCACAACATTAATGGTGGTTTCTCAACTTCAGGAATTTGAGAGTGTGTTTTGCGGTAAAACTGGCAGAAGGCTCAAGCTGACCAGACCGGACTCCTTGGTGGCGCGTCCCGTGCAGGAGGGCCTACAGAGCAGCCCAGCCATGGATGTCAAGTGACCAGAAGGGACCGCTAGTTCCCAGCAGTGGCGGCTGCTGCCCGGGGGCCCCGAGCGTCTGTGCAGCCCTGGAGCCCCGGCGGTCTGGCTCTGGGGGACGTGAGTCCAGTTGAGGGGCCTCTGTGGGGACGTTACAGCACGTTTTGTAAAGATGTTTGTCTAGAACAAAATACTTAGCCATTCGTGTCCTCTTAGACCATTTGGGGATGAAGACATGTTGACAATTAGCAAGAAACTTTTCAATTATCTGCCTGATTCCATCATGTTTTCTTAACATGATAACTTCAAAAATTAACATCCTTCATAATTTCCTTAGTCTTCCAAGGTACACTGCTTTTTATTTTATTTACATTTTAAATATGCCCACTTAGCAATTGGAACAAGTTAAATTGTTCTTAATTAGAAGTAGTTTGGAAATTTTACTCCTTTGTTTCTCCCTCCCCCTGTGCTGACTTCAGTCACATGGGACTGCATTGTGAAATGCGGTCCGTGTCCAGACCTCTTGCTGGACATTTTCCAGACTCCCTTTGAAGCCACTTCTGTCCATAAATGAGATATTGTCACAGTGGATTCCTTCAATGCCCTCATTTTCATATTGAGAGTCATTACTTTCTGTGTAATAAACTGTAGTGTTTGGAACTGAGGTTTTCACATGAGTGGCTTTATTTATCACAACAGGTAATAGCAGTAGACTTTGTCGCAATACAGGGTCACCTTCAATAAATACTGTTAATCGGAGACAGTCAAAGTTTGTACACAAAAGAAGCAGGTAAATCAGACTAGACCATGTGTGGAGGGGGTACCGTACAGAGAATCCTTTATTTATTAGACTGGGGTCACCTGGGGTCATCTGCTGTCTTACTGTGATTCTTAGTCCTTCCACAAGTGCTGTGTGAACAGGTGGCTGTTTTAGGCCCCGAGGACTTGTGCCCCTTCAGATGTGGGGTCTAGTTGGCGCCCACGGGGCCTGACGTACGACGTGACCGCTGACGGGCACTTGTAAATGCGTGTAGAGACAACATTGGACAACAGGTCGATGAAGGACGCTCTCGGGGACCACGTGGCTGGTCACTGCCATGGAGGACCCAAGGGGCAGGCCAGGAGGGCCGCCACCGATGCCACGCTGTCCCCTCCCCCGCGGAGCGCTGCTGACTCCTCGTGTCCTTCCAGAGCTCCCTGCTGGCGTCGGCACCACCTTCTCACTTCCTTCGGTTGTGTTTTAGGAGCTTCTAGAACCTGATTTTTCCCCGATGCCTCCCATCACGGCTCCTTGGCAGGCCGAGGTGTCACAGATGCCGGGGGTCCCCTGAGCACCGACAGCACCAGGGAGGCCAGGATCGCCTGGAGGCCCGGGCTCGCCGTGGGCCCCGTCTCGGCCGTCTTTGCTAACACCAGGCACGCCTTGCGGCCCTTGAGACGGAGCGGGAAGGTGAGTGTAGATGTAAGAACAGAACATCCATTCAGCCTGCCACCCCCAGCCCTTCTGTGTAGGGGCGTATTCTGCACTCTGGAAGGGCGGAGGGGAGGAGAGACCATGTGGGGGGAGGAGAGACCATGTGGGGAGAGGAGCGAGGGCAGAGGACGAGGTGGGGGGATGTGGAGGCCAGGGGCTTGTCCCGAGCGTAGCGGCTCGGGCCCGAGCAGAGCTCATGGGAGCCGAGGGAAGAGAGCGTCTCCTGTGAGCTGGGGGGGGCGGGGGGGGGTGCGGAGTTGCTTGGTGAGCGGGGCAGAGGTGATTGTGGGCATGGCCTGCATGTGATCCCCGGGGGGCCCCCACCTCGGGGGATGGGCCCCCTAAGTAGGGGGAGGCAGGGTGGGTCAGCTGAGGAGGGGCTGGGAGCGTGGGTGCGGCCTGGAGGGCCAGCAGAGGAGAGGGTTTCTGGGCGCTCGGAGAGGCCTGGAGCAGGGCCTCCGCTCCGCCCAGGGTGCGGGGGCGCGTGGAAGACCACGAGGTGACTCGTGTGTTCTGTGAGGGATGGACCGCAGGGGGCAGGGGCTGGTCCTCTGTCTCCACAAAGCGTTTGTATTGGACACCAAACATTCAGGGTACATGTGGCTAATTCAGAGGGAATTAGGGAATTCTGCTGGACTGAACTGACCTAGACGCTAGACTGCTTTCACCGAATAGAACTTAACTGAATCTACGGGGAGAGATCCTCCTGACTCTCTTCTCGCTCAAACTTGTACAAAGTCATTCTGGCGGTTCCTGACCGTTCCTGACCATCTGAGAGGACTTTGCCAAGAGAAGACGTCGTGATACATGTTCACCACCCAAATGCGGCCCCAGGTCAAGCCACGGCGTGTTGGGAAAGCGGCTGGTGAGACGAGCACCTACCCTGTAGCCCCTGGTCTCCGTCTGGCCCGTCCAGACCCACGCCCGCCGAGCCTTTGTCTCCTTTGTCTCCCGAAGCCCCTGTGGAGAAGCACCGGACACATGAGCACCCGGCTGGGGTTCAAGGAGGGACCACTGGCGTGATGGCATGAGCCCCCACGCCAGCGTGTCACCCGCCTTGTGACGGGCAGGGTGCCCACATGGTGAGCCTTTTCCTGAAGCGAAGCGCTCTCAGAAAAGTAATCCGAGCGCCAGAACCAGGGAAGGGGATGGAGGCCAGTTGAGAACCGTGTTTTCAAAAGGCTCAAAGGCCTTCAGATCCCTACGTGAAGAAACCCGCTTGGTCTGTTGGTGGAAGACAGCCTTGTGCCAGCGCCAGAGATGCTCAGAGCCCACAGCCATCTCCAAGGCCATGTGAAGCCGGCTGACCGTGGACTTGGGACCGACACCGTGTCTGGGAAGACGTGTCTGTCTCCAGGGCTGAAATTGTGCAGCCTTGAAGTTTCTTAAAAATAAGTGCGGCACCACTCATTCTGGAATAGCCGGATTTGAGGTATTCAAACTGCGCCTCATCGATGAAGAGAGCAAATCACAGAGTTACGTTTCCCTCAGAAACGTTTTTAAGCTGTTTTTCAGAAACAGAATTATTTGGTCAATAAATTGGCACAGACTGGAATCCTGAACTTTAAATCCGGAACTGAGGCCAGGAGGCCGGCCGGCGGGATGCGGGTGGGACACTGAGCAAACTCAGACAGGAAGTGGGGGTCAGAGGCTGTTGGGGAAAAGCTCAGTGGCCGGGAGTTCACAGTTGTGTTAGCCGCGTGGCCCGTCTGTGGGCCCGAGCATCCGGCTGCTGCCAGCTCAGCGGGGACCTGGACAGGGCCAGCGCCTAGCATCAGCGACGGGGCGCACCCGTGAGGTCATCTGGTTTCTAAATTATACTTCCCAGCGCTTCAAAGGGAGTTCTGTATAACTTTTGCCTTTTGCAACAGAAATGTTCACGAATGTCAGTTTTTCTGAAGGCATATGCCGTTACGTGTAAATGGGCTCCTGTTTGTTTATCCCTCATATTTTTGTCTACCCCTTCTCCCCCAAATGCTGTTCTGATGGTATTTGCGGTGCCCGGGGGGATGATGTGCAGGAGACGGCGGGCAGCCGACTCACCTCTGGGCCCCGGGTCTCCCAGCTCTCCGGTGGGACCACGGTATCCAGGGGGCCCTCGGGCACCAGGGTGGCCGATGGAGCCCGGCGGTCCCGGGGGGCCTGGGGGCCCAGCTGGACCAGGCCGACCTGCGGATCCAGGCGCTAAAGGCTTCCTCAGGTGAGCAGCTAACTGTGCAATTTGTTCTTTGGGAAAACAAAGATGCAAGCATTTATTCGAGGAGGATTAGCAAAAGCGTTCTGTGCAAGGCGGAAAAGATCGAGCCGCCCCTAACGCACTTCGGGGCATGGAACGGAAGTACTGCTACGTTTCTCCTGTGTGCCAAGGAGGGAGTCACAGGCCCAAGAGGAGGTGCTCATTTGGGGGGAGTTCCTTACAAATCCTGTGAATCAAAGTGGCCAAGAGATAGATGGCCACTTAGTCGGTAAAGGCTGGAAGGGTGCAGGTCTCGGTCCCTGCTGATGGTTTCACAGACATCTAGAACCCCCACCGTGCCCCCCGCCTGTGTTACAGCCTGGGGGGGGAGGGAGCCCCCCCCCAGCGCAGATGGAGACTGGACACTGCCCCCCCCGACTGCCCCGGGTAGGGAAGAGGTGGAGGAGGCCGGGGCGTGGGTGGCCCGAGGTGTGCAGGGGTGGAGAGCACTCACCACTGAGCATCCCTCCACATAGCTCCCTGATGTGCTGCTCGCTGGCTTCCCGCCCCTGAAATTCACCCCGTAAGTCCGTCAGCAGACTTGGGGCAGGCTGGCACCCTTAGAGATGCCCCCTGCCCCACCATCAGTCTCAGAAGAGTGACCAGTGCCGACGAACACTGCCCTCAACAAAGGGAAAGACGTACCGGGACTCCGGGTTTCCCGGTGATGCCAGGCACGCCTTGTACCCCCGGGAAGCCCGTGGGGCCGGGTGGGCCCGGGAGGCCCTCGACACCACTGGTACCATTGGGACCCTGGATGCCCTTCGGGCCCAGCTCCCCTCGACTGCCGGCCTAGAGGAAAAGGGGCCGAGGTGGGTCGGAGACGAGCAGTGCCCAGCAGCTGCCGCTCCCCACACCCCGCAGGCTGGCCTGGCGTTTCCTTGGGCTTTGTTGTTGGGACGGCTGGCGGCCACTCACCTCTCCTTTGGGTCCGACCGGACCACTGGGACCCTGCGAGAGAGCAGTTGTTTGGCCGTTAGTCGGGTGGGCGTTCGCTGCCAAAGAGCCAGGCTAGCGCAGGGGGAGTTGGAGAGGGCGGGAAACCGCCAAGAAACCACCCTCTGACTGCTTCCGGACATGGAGTGGCAACCTCCTTGTACTCTCCTGGGTGCAGTTTTTCTCTAGCTGGGACTGTGTTCTATGCACGGATGTTGTTGTGACTTATTTTCCTAAAGAGTGTTTTCAGTAACTGTTCAGCACGTTTTGTTACACGTGTTTACTTTGTTCCTTGTCTCCGTCATCATCATTCTAATAAATAATGGATGTCTGAATATCTCTGTGCCTACAGTCCCCTTCAGCTGTGTCCTTAGGGACGCGGTCCCAGCCAGAGGGGCTCCCCAGCCGGCAGGCACTGCCGCCCCCATCAGATTAACGGGGCCGGGGCCGGGGTCCCGCTGGTCAAGGTTGTCCAGGAATTTGCCAAAAGAACCCGCGCACACGCAGCCCTGAGACTGTCTTGGCCACAGTCATGGGGCCCTCAGCCCGCAGCCTCGGCCTCCCTGGGGCTTCCCACACTCCCTGGATCTGCAGACTGACCCTCATCCCCGACTGGGACTCGTTCATTCTCAGCTGTTGATAAAAGTGAGGCCGACTTAATCCCACTCACCAGCTCTCCTTTGTCCCCAGGGAGGCCATCGGAGCCTGCAATGCCCTGAAACAACACGCCCCAAGGTCAGAGAGCTGACCCTGCCTCGAGCTGTTCTCAAAGCTCAGGCGCTGGTCCCCGGAGCCCCAGGCCCAGGGTGGGGACCTGGCAGGGACTGGCAGGATGCACTGAGCCTTGCTTGCCAAGAAGAATCTTGGGGGGCTGTAGATCGTTCTAGGTCCTCGACCAATACAAAGAGGGCCTGGGGCCACCGGGGGTCACGGGCCCAACCCCTGAGCCTTTCCCGAGAGAATGTACCCTCTACACACAGGCCTGGGGCCCAGACTCCCCCGTTACAAGGTCCCATTCCCAGGTCAGCGGGAACACACCCTCCCTGTAAGTGGGGCTGGGTGTCCAGAGCGCCACCCCCCCCCCCCCCCCGCCAGCCAGCTCAGAGTTCACGAGGGAGAGCAGGAAATGAAGGAGGGAGAGAAACGGAAGAACAGACCTGACCCCTGGGTGCCCACTCACCTGGTCTCCCTTAGGGCCGGTGGCTCCTCCCGGGCCCTGGCACAGAGAAGGTGAGCGTTAGAGGGGGTTCGGGAGTCCCTGAGGCGGCCCCCACCAAGCTGCGGCGGCACAGGGCTCACGGGAAGCAGACCCTCCCCAGGCGTGCTCCTGGTCCGCCGCAGCGTTCCGTGCGTGCCCTGTCTCAAATCTTCCTAAAGAACTGTCGTCTTAGGATCTCCGGAGCATCGCACCAAGGGTGCCGTGACCTTTTCACAGGCCTCCTCAAATCTGGTATCGCTCCCAGTACCACGGGCTGCACGCGGGTCATTTCCCACGTGGAACTGCTGAGTCAAAGAGCTAAAAGCTCGTATTCGCCACCTTCCCGGCCAATTGTGAGATTAGGGATATGTTTGGGCACTGGACCGGGATCGCCCAGAAAACATGGAAATAAAAATTGTCCATTTGCTCAAATAGCAGGAGTGAGAACTTGCCCAAGGGGCAGACATGTGGCCGCCCTGGAGATGAGGAGGGGGAATTCAGGAACCACGGGGCAGGCACAGCCCCCGGCCACGTCTCAGAGGCCCCAATGCCTGGGATTTCCTGCCTGGTCTGGGCCACAGGCCAGGGGTTTCTATGCACCCCCGCCAACCCCTCCCCCGGGGATGAAGGGACATCTGGGCCGGCGGCTCCTGGGCCTCCCCATCCGCGGTGAAGTCTGGCAGCAAGCGCGGCGGCCGTCTTGGGGCCCTGAGCGGGCATCTGAGCCAGGCTCTGTGCTGCCTGATGGTCCCTGAACGACAGGGACCCCACAGTGAGCTTACTGTCACAAGACCACCAGGAAAGTTAGAAGCAGTGAGAGTTAGCAGCGCTTAGAGTCGTGCTTTTCACACTTATTTAGTGTGTCAAGCAGTCCTCAGCTAAAGACCAACAGATGACGCTGGGGGCCCTCCCCTCGGCTCCATGCCCCTCACCGTGAGCCTGGAGCACCTGACTGGGTGGCTGGCAGTGTGTGTCCACCAGGTGGGGGCTGGGGAGAGTAGGAAGGAAGAGGGGAGGAGGAGGGGAGGAGGGGGGGACGG